ACCTTCTTCTCTCAAAGTTGTCTTTCTATGGTATCAGGAGTAACACCTTTGGCTGGTTTAAAGCATTTCTATCCAATCGCCAGCAAAGTGTGTCTGTTAACGGGATACATTCTTCGTGAGTAGACGTTATCTCAGGAGTCCCACAAGGGTCTGTGCTTGGACCAGTATTGTTCTTGTTATACATTAACGATATTACAGACCGAATACATTGTTCATTAAAGTTATTTGCTGATGACAGTATTTTGTACAAGGAGATAAACAACATAAATGATCACGTTATCATCCAAAGAGATCTCCAGACTCTATCAGCTTGGTCAGAGAAATGGTTTTTGAGCTTCAACATCAAGAAATGCACGGTTATTACCATTACCCGTAAACGTAAACCGAGTACATATCGGTACTCTTTGTTTGGAGAGGTCTTATCTCGTGTGACAAAACACAACTATGGATCATCCTTTAAAATATGTAAGTGGTCTACCTCCACAAGCAATCTTGCACATTTGTCCATCTACTGCATCTTTTCAAGAGTATGCCATATGCTATAAGGGCGATGCAGCCTCTTTATGGCAATTATCTCCTTTAGGTGGTCTCTGTCATCTTTGTAAATAGTGCACGCACCTAAGTTGTATTTTGAGCACCGTTGTTGCACTCTAAATTTATTTATTTTATTTATTTCGCGCCGGCTGAAAATGGCAGCGTCGTCACCAAATCATCCCAGTTTAGCTGAGTATCAGCTGCAAAAGGATTATCAAGACTAAAGACTGGATTGGATGGATTTATTCGGTGTCAACACCGAGGATAGCCCACGAAAGTCTAGAAGAAGACTTATTTTCAGTGGGTTCTTTCTGGTGGTGATTGGACAGTACACCGGGAGACAATCCCCTACTCTATTCCGAAGAGTGTACTGCATTCTTTAACGTGCACATGGGCCATAAATGCACACCGGACCAGCGGCTTAAACATCTCATCTGAAAGACTGTGCGCTATTTTAAATTGTATTTCAGCCCTCTAGATGAAACACAAGGAGAGGCTGCAGCGATGGGAATTGAACCAGGGACCTACAGATCTCCACGGTTCAGTGCACACACAGTGGCTACCACCAGATTAGCCGACTGAGCTAAGCTGCTCTCTCATATATCTTAGAAAGAAATTTAACATTATCGCTGACATTGCTTAAACTCCTCTCAAAAGGTTTTCATACTCTTCTTGTTGGCCTTGTAGGGTTGGCATATCTGCAAATATCGTGCTTAGCTTCCTAAGTAAGAGGTTGACCTTTGACCTAATTACACCGAGAGGTCATTTGATATATCAAATGTGTGATTTTGATTTCTTAAGGTCAAACTTATAATTGTACCCAATACATTTACATGCTCAATATTTAGTTAAAAAGAAAATTAGCTGCAAAGTAGTTTCTAAATGGTGGACATTTCGAATTTATGCAAATTAGATAATTTAGGATTTGCGGATCAAGGTAGATCGTGGATATGTTAATCGTTACAGGTAAATGGCATTCAGCAATAAAACAAACTTTTGCAATTTATTTACCTGCAAGACCTATTTCAACTTGTCTAAGTCGAACCAATCATAACAGGACTTACGGTACTATGGTTTGAGAATTTGGAAACAATGGATTATCTCGATCTTTGATTTGTTTAGTTGAAGATTATTAGCTACATCAAGAATACAAAAGGACAACTTGGTTACTGCAAGATGGTCAGATGGTCTGAACTGTTAATTTAACTGAACATGACTCTGAATCCATGAGCTTTGATAATAATTACCTATTTTCCAGAGGTGTGGTGAATATGATAAGCAACAGCGGTCGTAAGACCGATCCTAGCGGGATGTCACAGTTTTGGTTTCTTTTGTGAGATGACACCCTGAATAACAACTGAATATTTACGTGTGGTCAGGTATGATTTGAACCAGTTATAGACGATTCCGATGACACCAAACTGGAGCTTAAGACTCCTAAGAAGTTTCAAATGATCGATTAAATCGAATTCTGATGAGAAATAGAGTAAAGCACGAAGAATTTCATTTCATCTCAAAAGCGGACATGACATCTGTTTTAACCCCTCGAATTACTCAGTGAGACTACACAGGTTGCTATAAAATGGCAGGAAACTTGTTTGCCTGCCTAATGTGAGATCATTAACAAGATGAACAAGCTTCCAATGTAGACATTTATTAACTCAAAGTACCAGTCATCGTTGGATATGACTAGGAGCTTGCTGTAGTCTTTTATACTTCTGCTTCTATTCAATTTTGTGATTAACAAAGCCCGACCGGAGATATTTGAGTTCAAACTACCTTCTTTCACATTTCAGGATACGCAAATCGTCAAGTGTACCAATTACTTTAGGAAGCAAAACGTCTTTCTTCCAGCTCATATATGACTTTCGCAAGGTAGAATCGTAGAAATATGCCAGATTGTTGACATGTACAGGTTTCTGCAGATCATCAGCAAAAACTTCCGGGCCAATGTTATGCAGTCTACGTTGAGGGAGCATCTTGGCAGGTAAAGTCGGTTGTTGTATCAAATTGAAGAGACATTGAATGCATGATCTGATTGCAGATCCCATCGAGTGGTACTGTAGGTTTACTTTGTAGCACATTGTCTTGGCTCAATGTTGGATGAGATCAAGTGTGTGATTGTGGTTGTGGGTGGCACCACAGACCATTGTATTGGAATCATCTTTCTTATCAGCTTGAAAATTAAAACCAACAACAATAATAGTCTTTATGGCAAAAGAAATTACGGTTTCCATGAGGGATGCAAAGTCGCTCAAAAACATTTGAACTGTAAGTTTATTTGTCCTGTCCTGGATAGTGGAGGTCTGTAAATATTGATGAGCCTAATAGTAGATGTTGTTGAGATATTCAGGTCCTGATACAAAAGATTGAAGTTCACTTACCTTAACACTGAAAGTGGACTTTGACAGGACATAAAACCACTATAACAATAATAATAATAATAATAATAATAATAATAACTTTATTTAATATAGCGCAAACAATATCCAATTAAAATGATCACAGGCGCTCAAGGGCGTCGATCCGTGGCTGAAAGTGGGGGGGGGGAGGAGATGAAAAATAAAGCCTTGGGCCGTAGGCCCAAGCAATGGTCGGGGACAAGGGGGCGAAGCCCCGGAAGCTCTGGCGCATATAGCCTTTTAATTGATTTTAAGCAATGCAATTAACATTTATTTCCATGCGAAATTTTCAAAATATCCAGTGGCGGATCGAGTAATTTGAAATAGAGCTGGGCCCAGAGAGGAACTTTTACAGATGGAGAGTGTAGCTGGACTACTACCTCAGCCCCACCATGGTTGGGGCTGAGGTAAGAATATTTATGATTATGGCACCTCCAGTTGGTCGGAAATGGCACTCTCAGACTGAATTTGAATATAATTTTAATTTTTCTCCCCTTTTAAATTTCGAAAAAAAAAAATAGTAATGGTGGGCCGGCTGGGCCCCTTGAATCTGACACTGAAATACTCATCAAAAAAGTTTTTTAAATTATCTTTTTTAGTCATAATTATGCCCGCTTATATATTTCGTGCAAACTAACATTCATAAAAATAATGATTTATTATCTACTGATTAGCTTGTAACGTATTCAAAATTCGAACTATGAAAAACAAATAAGATAAACTTAAAACAGTCATTCATTTACCCTTTTTGCATGTACAGTACTTTTAAAATCAATCAAGAGGTTTTTTCTCTTCTCCTCTTTTTGAATTTTACTTTTGTGTAAGTAATATTGCGATAAATTATTGTGAGTGGAAATAATACCGTCTAATTTACGATCAAACAGGACTAGGGAGATATTGAGCACACAAAACATTAGTTAACATTTTGATTTCACAATCATAAAGGTGATTTACTTAAGTTATCATTATCAGTGGTGGCTCCAGGAAAGCAAATTAGAGGGGGGACAGGGAGGGACTTGCACGTTTGAAAATTACCGTAGATCACCTCAGCCCCACCATGGTTGGGGCTGAGGAAAGAAAATTTATGATTATGACACCTTTAGATTGCCGGAAATGGCACTCTTAGACCTTATTTCTAATTATAATTTTCCTTTGTTTTTTTTTTTTTTCTCATTTTTAAAAAATAATTTTGTAAAAAATAGGGTCGGCTCGGCCCCACTTGAATCTGCCACTGATTATTATGGCGTCATTGCGAGACTGCGTCAACGTAAAACTGGAGTTTGTAAACTTTTGGTAGGCTTTCACTTAATCGAAATAGGTAGACATCATATCCATGTTAAAGGCTGAAATTAGAAAAAGCAGTAATCCTATGTATGTAGATATTATTAAACACTAGTGTATACGTACGGGTCATAATAATATACAAAAAGAATAAATCGTTTATAGTAGAAATTGTGCATTTTTGAGTTTGTAAATATTGGCCTAATAAGGATACATTCTTTCCCCTGTGCCCCCTGTCCCCCACCGATCGACGCCCATGCAGGCGCTGTACAGAATGACTGTTGTTTTAAAGCAAGAAATCAAAGTTTGGTAACAATCTCTTAAAGTCATTGAGGACATGCCCATCAATGTTGCTTCCCGTCAACCAAGTCTCTGTGATAGTTGTATACCTTGTTATGTGAAAACTCGCAGAGATGATCAGACTCCCTAAAAGCAAGTTAAACGAAAGAATTTTTGTTATCAAGAGAAAATTTGGTAATGTTGCAGTAGTTAACATGTGTGACTCGGCTGGCATTACAATGCTTAACTTCATGCATAATAATGCAATTGTTTACATGCCTACTTGACCCGTCTGTTTTTAGCAATATTTAGTTGCTTTATCTGATTAAAAAGAGACGATCCAAGAGTCCTATGATTTAACAAACTATTAAATTACCTAACCTTAAGTTAAATATCAATACAAATACCTGCTAGGCCTAGCCTGTGGTCTTGAGTTGTGGCATTTTCACGAAAAAACTGGCAATGATAAACTGTCTATACAGCATGATTTCAAATTATTTTACAAGCGTATGAGCATGGCATTGCTGCCCCTGAGGATCTCTTCACCAGGAATATGACTGTACACCACAACCAGCTAATTCTGATCAAAATTAGAACGGTGAGTCTTAATCTATTTATTTCTATGACAATATTTGTGGTTTGCCTATTTATGTGTGATATAATAATACAGTGCATACCCCTGAGGTGCTCATGGTGCCTGAGCACCCCACCTGGGTCAAGCTCGCTAGTAATAAGGTTTGTTATTCATAAGGTTCGCTATAGTCATAACATTAGCTTACCATATACCAGAGGGCCGCTATTCATAATTAGGAAAAGGTTTCACAATTCATAGATATTAAGGATTCATAAGGTTCGCTAGTCATAATAAAAGGGGGTGGAGGGAATTCGCTAGTCATAATTTTTTAAAAAGAGGTTCAGTAGTCATAATTTAAAAAAAGGGGTTCCTTAAGGCCTGTTTACACTATGGCAATAATGCTCAATGATAAAAAGCTAAATAGCAATTGTTCATAAAGAAATAAGAGTTTTCACCCTAGCACGATTCGATAACGATTTATTGTGTATACGATAAAAAAGTATTTTCACAAACAAATCAAATGACGTCATAATTATGGGAAAAATATAAAATGGTAGTAGTAAAAACGATTATTCCTTATTTGAGCTACTGCAACATTGTTTGAGGCAATACCTAATTATCCAATATTAACAGACTTCAAATTCTCCGAAAAAAAAAAAAAAAAATTCCCAGAAAAAAAAAAAAAAAAAAAAAAAGCTATTTACAATTATATCTGGCGCTCCACGGCTCATTCCTGTCACTTATTTTCCAATTTAAACCTTCTCAAACTCTCTGATATTAACCATTGTTCAACAAGGTACTTTCTTATACACTGCCATTAATTCTATTCTCCCCAAACATGTTTACCTTCAATCACTCCGTTCACAATTATCGTACTCAATCCAGAAATGATATTCACATACCTAATCATAACACCAACTATTTTCAACACAATATTAGATGCATTGGTCCTATACTCTAGAACAATTTACAATCTCCAATTTTAAACTCAGTTTCCGTGAGGTCTTTTACCAAAAAACTTAGGTTTTTTCGCAATGCTAAAATTAATTTGATCGTGACTCGTCTTGCTGCTCCTTGAAACCTTGTTTTGCTGTCTTCCTTGTGTGTGTTTGTGTTGTGTGTTGGTTTGTTTGTTTGATTGTTTTTTGGGTCTCTGTGTGCTTTTGTGATTTTGTGTTCAGGTCTGCCTAACACAAGATTTTGTTAATGAATCTTCTCGGGCAACATTGCCTTCTTCCTTTTGATGTTTCATAAACCCATCGTTTTTATTGATTTCTGTTATCTGACTGCAAATGGATGAAAATAAATGTCTCTGAATTACGACGAGTCGTAAAGAATGCTATTCTTACTACGATCAGTAGCGCATGCGCAATTAGCGTCCCTCGGAGGTAAACAAAACAAAAAAAAATTTATTCAGGAAAGGAATATTTCGTCTTGTCCTCAAAACTTCATCAGCGTAACTGTAGACATTACACTGAAGAAGAGAGCAGGCGCTCCCGAAATATTCGTAATAAAATAAATTTCATATATCCTGAAAAAACGTCAACTGCCTAGATTATTATTTCTTGTCTCCATTCTACTATATGTTTATCAAGATATACAGGCACTCATTATTTCGATGCATCATAATTATATATATATATATATATATATATATGTGTGTGTGTGTGTGTGTGTGTGTGTGTGTATATATATACATGTATATATATATTTATATTTATATATAAAATATATATAAAGAAAGCTGTTAACACTGTTAAATTATATACTAGATAGATAGATACTAGAGAGTTAGGTGATCCGCTTGTCCAGCAAAAGAAATCTTGCAGATCTTAAAAGTGAAATATGGAAAAATACTGTAGCCAGGATTTTAAAACTGTGCAGGAAAATATCAAGTCTGCTGTTCTCTCTCTCTCTCCTCTATCGGATCGTCAAAGATTTAATGAAAGAGGTTGGGAGAGGTTAGAAAAACATTCAATTTGACCATGATGACGTCATCAAAATGAAAAATGAAGGGACACTTCCGATAGAGAATTGTCTCAGCTACAACATACTCACAGGAATAATCGAGATATGTTCAAATGAGTATGAAAATAATGACGTCATAAATAAAATTCTGTTTTTTTAAAATTTATTCTGATGGCAATATGATGACGTCACAATGTCGGATCAGCCATTATGACCTATAAAATCATATTTACAACTCCGGTACTTTCAGAATATATAATAAAAATTGGGGGTCACCTTTTATCCCAAAGAGCTATAACTGATTATATCGGCAAAAACGCGCGCAAAGATCGATGTTTGATGCACGCGTACGGCATTGCTATTGGCCATAAGATGACCGAAAACAATGGAAATTTGTGAAAACAATGTCAGGAACCCAAAATATGTTTTTAAAAAAACGAAATTTCTAGCTTCCGTACTTGCTGCGCATGTAAAAATGCACACGCGTAGTGGAAAATGTCAAAACATTTTGAAATGCTCAAAATGACCTAAAACGTGCTCTTAATTAGGCAAAAATTTATTTTGAGCATTTTGAAATTTTGACGCGCACGCAAAATATTTTGGTACGTGATATTCAACCTTGACCTAAAGTTTATGCCTACTGAATATGATTGAGAAATGACAATTGGTTAGGATGATATGATCGATGATGTCAAGCATGACTGAGCACATTGAAAACATTATTGTGACTATTCCAGGCCAAATAACTAATAGTATCTTGTATCTTGTTTTCATTCATTTTAATCATTATAATGAATAGATTAGCTACACGTAGTTTTCAACTTAGACATAAATTTAGACCTTTTCTAAATGTGTTTAGCCTAGACCTGAATGTCATTGGTGTGTGTAGCAGCCATATTGTTGTCCCTCTAGGGCTAACAATAGCAATGTCTGCCCATTGAGCGAGCCTACACCTATTAAGCCTAGACTAGACAGTGGTCTTTTCCATTATTGTATACCTTCTTCTAGGTTAATTATTTACAGTAAAGATTCACTAATAGCTCTGAAGCCTAAGACTAAGCCTAGGGTGTTGCTTGATCCTTTAGTTTTTAAGAATATTAAAGATTTATGTATTCTTCGCCCTACAAGGGTTGTCGTGGAGGTAAACGCTATAAACAAATCATGGCTGATACGTCAGAGTCTGAAGATACATTAATACGTCATTGCCCTTTAAACAAGCAAAACTGCTCTACTTGTTCAGTGAAAACAAACTGCAAGCTTCTTAATATGGGAATTTGGAATGCGCAGTCTGTTTGTATTAAGAGTACACCTTTCTCTCAATACATTGTTGATAATGACATTGATATGATGCTCGTAACCGAGACGTGGCTTCGTGAGAATGATGACGCCATTGTTTCTGCTTGCGAGCCAGCCAAACATAAATTATTCTCGTTTCCAAGAGTCAATCGTAGAGGTCGAGGAATTGTTGTAAACTGATTGAGTTTACATCCTTTGAAGCTTGTGAAGCAGAGTTTACATTTCATAATAAAATAAGTGATTATTGTCACTATTTATAGACCACCACCCGCACCTACCTCTCAGTTTTTTTGTAGAATTTTCCCAATTGATCGAGCGTTTTTTACTTCTTCCCAACCTTATTATTATTGGAGATCTGAACATCCATATGGATGATACTAGTAACCACCACACAAACCGTTTTGTAGAATTGCTGTAATCATTTAACCTTGTGCAGTTAGTGAGTCAGTCTACACATGTACATGACCATACTCTGGATCTTGTCATTACTAACAATCAGAATCTCATAAAAAAAATTGTCATGTACATCAGTACCACTTATCTGATCATTACATTGTTCACGCTCAACTTGATATAACCAAACCATTAAATTATAAGTCGAAGGTTTTATTTCGTAACTTTAAGAACATCGAAAATAGTGTTCTTACAACTTTATTTTCTGAAGCTTTTTCTGGCTTCAGCAACAATGTCAACAACCAAAATGTTAATTCTATGGTCTCTGCGTATAACACAACCCTAAATTCAATTCAAAATGAAGTTGCACCTGTGAAAATGAAAGTTGCTACCATGAGACAAATGCCTCGATGGTACAACGATAATTGTCGTATTGAAAAAAGAAAGTGTCGCATATTATAGCGTAAATGGATCAAGTCTGATGATTCTTTAGATAAAACAGCTTTCAAGAAGCAATGTGCAAAATATAACTCTTTTTTAACCAATACTAAAACTGCCTACTTTCAATCTCAAGTCGAGAAATGTGGAAGTGACCGACGGCTGTTGTTTTCTTTATTGAACAAATTTTGCGGTAAAAGTAAAGTAACCCTCTTACCATCCACAACCTCTGATGTTGAATTAGCACAAGCATTTAACATATACTTTCACAATAAAATTAAAACTTTTAGAGCATCTTTACCACTGAGTCATATCGGCGGACGCTTTCCCAGTGCCTGATGCCGACAGTTTTGATATTAGTAACTTCACTGAACTAGAAGAAAATGAAATATTTAACATTGTAAAATCAGTTTCATCGAAGACTTGCTCATTAGATCCTTTTCCTACAAAATATATTGTCGAAAATATTGCATTTTTCCTACCTGTATTTTGTCAGATTGTTAATTCTTCCTTTTCATCTAGCACTTTCCCTGATGACTTAAAAGTGGGGATCATTAGGCCAATGCTTAAGAAACCTAACCTCAACCACAATGAACTTGCTAATTTTAGACCTATTTCTAACACTACTTTCCTCTCTAAACTTCTTGAGAAATGTGTGGCAAATCAAATTATTAATTTTTTTGATGTAAATAATCTTCATCCTCTACAATCAAATCCTCTACAATCTTTCATCCTCTACAATCGGCCTACAGAAAATTTTTACAGCACTGAGACAGCAGTTGTTAAAATCCACAACGATATAATGGTTGACCTTGATAAAGGTTTTTGTATTCTGGCTGGTTTTTTTTTAGATCTAAGTGCTGTTTTTGACACGATTGATCACAAAATACTCATTCACAGACTTGCATCTCTTGGAATTGGTGGATCTG